TTTCTTCTTGCTATTAATTATTTCCTAGCTTTGGTGGAATTTGCAGTCTGACAGCATGATTGTGTTTCTTATCAGGTGAAAAGAGGAAAAAATATATCTAAAAGCCTCTACTTGTATTAAAGAAGCCATTACAGCCAAGCCATACACGCCTCATATAATGAGACGTGAGGCTTATCTCTAAATTGCCTGCCCGCTCATATTTGTTTGCTATCTGTTATGAAACTGTGCGGTGAAGCCACACACAATGAAGCATTTGAATACAGTTATAAGTTAAATGACCTGAGTTTCCATTGACTTTGAAAGCGTCTTAGCAAGAGTAAATGACTCAATGTGACTCTGAAGTAATGAGCCTGAGTCAGACTAAACTTTTATTTGTATCCATTTGGATGTGTCTTCAACTTTATGTGAAGCAGTTACATGCTCAGGTAGAGTTTAATGCAGGTGTTTCTGGTTTAACGAACCCATTTGTGTCTTTTTCCATCTCGTTATTAGTCTCCTCATGAGGTATAAACTCACGCCTCGGCATCTCTTGTACTAATTTGCCGACTGTGTCTCTCGAACAGGACGTCACCTGCCGCAAGAACACATGGCTTTTGTAACATGACAGTAATCTTATTATCGGTGACATTGTTGTGCTAATGGACTCTATTACCATAGCAATCTGTCCTAATGTCACAGAAAAATGCACACACTGTTGTAGTGAACCATTTTACAGTTCCCATGGGACCAAAAGGTGCTCACAAAGTGCTTTCTTACAAACAATTTATGTTAATTCGAATTGAAATTCTAAGCTTTGAAGATTTAACAATTTAAGAATACATTATTTTCAAAGACTCTCCAATTCAAATGTCTTGCAGTATATAGAATGCCGTGCTTGTTATTTTGTTTTCAAAGTTAGAACATACAACAATGCAAAAAATAATTGTATCTCATGAACAGATGGTTGGAAATCAGTTTGTTTTTTTATTAATGCAGAGCCATACAAAATACCAAGGTGCTCCATAGTTAAAATCTGACAACAATAGCTGTAGAAAAAAATAAGCTCCAAACACAGATGATCGGCAACATCAGCAGACAGTAATGCTGAGAGTGAAAAGAGTTTAACGTCGATAGAACATTCATATTTTATACTTTTGCCTGCAATCTTGCATTGTAATGACTTCAAGGTATCACAAACAAATTGCTTCTCAAAATCCTGCTGATCACACCTGAACCATTTTCTCTGAGGTTGTAGTTTTCTCATCCTGCAGAGGATTATCAGCAGTATTTACAGCAGCAGGAAGCATTTACTGGATATAATAAGCTTGCTTTTAGATTTATCTGTCTGCATAATCAAATTGACACACTGGATATGACAGTGTCTACACATGTATACAGTACACTCTCCTCTTTGTGAGGCAAGATATGAAAAGTAAAGTTAATCTCCTAGGAAAAGGTGTTAAAAAGTTTCTAAAGAGACAGAATAACCCACAGTGCTTCTGATAGGGGTCGTGGGTTTGAACAGATAATATAGTTATATAGCACTCATGTGGAAACAGTCTCTGTAATTGATGCTGGTCAGAAGCTTCTCCCTCATTAAGCTGTACTTAACACTGCATTGCATCCACTCACTGGCTCTTTATAGCTGATAGAGCTCAAAAAGAATAACTTTGCTTTCACTGCGGACAAGAGTCTTTCATCTCCTGCTTATTCGACCGAGCCCTGTGGAAATCAATCATAGTAAACAAGTGAGCGAAAGGAACTTGTGCGATGTGTGTTTAGACATAAAACAAGCAAACGCACACACATGCATTTCTATTAAATCCATTCAGAGAATATAAACTCAGGTGCCTGCAGTGCTTTGAATTATACAAGCCTAAAAAGCAGGGGAGGTGACACAGAAGTGTCT